AAAAGCAAGATCCAGTATTTACATAACTTTGCGCTACGGCTCGGCCCGCCACGCACCTCCCTCCCTGTCGCCCCTCGCTCCTTCCCGCTGCTCCCTCCTCCTCCTCAGCGCCTCCGCTCTCCCTCCTCTCTCTCTCCTCTCTTTCTCTCTCTCTCTCTCTCTTCTCTCTCTCTCTCTCTCTCTCTCTCTCTCTCTCTCTCTCTCTCTCTCTCTCGCTCTCTCTTCGCTCTCTCTCGCTCTCTCTCCCTCCCCTTCCTTTCCGCTGCCCTTCGCTTTGCGGAGTATTCTTGATGAAAAGGGAATATCTGGCGTGTAGATAATGCTATGCTAAGTCCCCCCAATATATTCCGTCAAAAACAAGTTGTATGGACGCGCAGAGGCACATCCCTGAGCTGATTTGAGAAATGAAAATCCTTCTTTGGGTTAGAATCCTTGAGGATAAAGCGTACCCCGTCTAGTCTTACATAAAATCTTTATGGAATCGGGAAATACATCAAGGCGAGCCTCCACGGAGCTCTAAAGCCTCCATTTCTGGGAGTTGGCAAGCCCGGGTATTGGGTAAGGATGGATGCTGACGATGCATTGGCAACGTGCCTGCAACGACCCCCAGCCAATCGCTGACCCGATCAGGACCTATCGGCCAATAGCGATCATGATCGACTCTCAATCATCCAATCGCCGACCAGTATTGGAACCAATCATCCAATCAGGTGGCAGTATCGGAGCCAATCGACCAATGAGAGTGGCGGATTGCTCTAGACCTGACCAATCGTACGGTTGGTTGGTAGTGTGCATGAGCAATGAGGTGTTAGTTGGTCGACTGTCCTGTGTCACAAGAATCAAAATTTCAACCGGTTTTAGATGGATCCGGGTCTCTCTATACGTCCCCGCAGGTGACCAGAGATGATTTTTAAAGATCAGGACATGTTTGAACAAAGAAGCCCTAGAAATAAGGGCAAAAATGGCAAGTTAAAAAAGTGTTGGAGCAGAGGAAAGCATCGCATCACGCGCCCGAGAGGAATATCGGGGGGCGTCGCTCCCCATAAGAAGAATCAATACTAGACCGGCGCCTCTCAACTTGACGCATCGCGACCACCTTAGAAGAATTTTGCCTTTTCTTTTCACTTTGATTTGGCCAAATTACCTCGAATTTATGGCCAAACGGCGGCTACGATATCGCAGAACACTTTGTAAACGGTTGCATAATGTTTCCATCAGCTGGTGAAATGTTACAAGCAATTATCAAGCAGCTTAGACAGCCTAGGTCTTGGTGGACGATGAGAGAGAAAAGTTGGCTATGATTTCCAGATTCTTCCGTACAGGGCGGCGCACAGTCGTTTCATGGTTGCCATTTTTCTTTCAAGGATAGGATCTGATATGCTCTCTATGAGTTTCTCTCTCAAACTCTCCTCTCTCTCTCTCTTTCTTGCTCTCTCTCTCATCTCCCTCTCTCTCTCTTATGCTCTCTCTCATCCTCTCTCCACCCCGCTAGTCTTACATTTCAGCTTCTCTTTACTCTTTACTCCCTCTCTCTCTCGGTGTGTGTGTCTCTCCGTTTCTCTCTCTTTCTCAGTGTCTCTGTCTCTGTCACTCTCACTCTCTCTCTCTGTCTCTCCCCCTTTCTCTCCCTCTTTATCTCTCTCTCTCTCAATCTCTGTCTGTCTCCTCTCCTCCCCTTTCCACTGCCCCCCTCTCTCTCTCATACACACATACTCCCTTCCCCTTCCTCTCTCTAGCTCTCTCTGTCTCTGTCTGCCTCTCCCTCTTTCTCTCTTTCCTTTTGTTTATGTCACTGTCTCTGTCTATCTATGACTGTCTGTCTGTTTGCCTCTCTGCCTGCCTCCTGCTTGTCAGTCTCTCTAACGCTCTCTCTTTCTCTCTTTCTGCCTGCATATCCGTCTTTCTGTGTGGCTTGCTCTCTTTATCTCTTCCCATCTTTCTGTCTGTCTGTTGGCAGTGCGTCTGTCGGACTCTGTCTCTCGCACTCTCTTTTCCTCTCTCACTCTCTTTCCGTCTCCCTTGTCTCTCTAGTTTTTTCTCTCTCTCGCACTTTGTCTGTTGCTCCCGTCCCCCTCCTCTCCTCCTCCTCCTCCTCCACCCTCCATCCTCCCCCTCCCCCTTCTACTCTTATATTTTTCCCGCTGTTTCTTCCAACATTTCTTACCTTGTGTCGTTCGTTCCCCCTGGTTATTTTTTCACCCAATGTGCCTCTCTGTTTTGGGGATTATGAAGGTTTTATGCTCTCTGAACGGACATGAATTATAGACACTTCTACCTCGGTGTGATTCTCCCTGTGACTCTCGAGAGGGCTTGGCCATGAGGTCCTATTGTTGGTTCTCCTGCACAGCGGAACGTGCCATATTGTTCCGCGTGTATGCCATGCTCTTGTTCTTTTTTATTTCCTCTTCTTTTTTATCCATCCTTCTTTTTTTTCTTTTCTTCTTCTTCTCCTTGCTCCTCATGGCAGTTTCAGGGTTCCTTAGTGACTTATTAAGGCGTGTGTGTGAGTGTGTGTGAGTGTGTGTGTGTGTCTGTATCTCACGTGGCGATAGACCTATTCTTTGTGTCGTCTATGGTTCTCTGCGAGCTCCGTGTGCTGTATTTATGTCTTTCTTTGAAGCTTTTGATCAAGCTTCCTCCGAGCGAAAGCGGTGAATAGATGAAGATGGAGGTGATGAGGAGGAGACAGAAAGATAAAATGTGACACTCTGCAACAGTCTGGGCCAGAACAAAGATCATGACGACTAAATATAAGCGAAGGAGATACGATACGTCTCTGGCCACGCTGAGAGCATGCGTGCGAGAGAGAGAGAGAGAGAGAGAGAGAGAGAGAGAGAGAGAGAGAGAGAGAGAGAGAGAGAGAGAGAGAGAGAGAGAGAGAGAGAGAGAGAGAGAGAGAGAGAGAGAGAGAGAGAGAGAGGAGAAGAGAGAGGGAGAGAGAGAGAGAGAGATGCTAGCGAGAGATACGTCAGCGTGTATTAATGAGACTGGGAGATAATGGGATAGCATCTGTAACGGGGCTAAGAGTTCCAATGGATAAATTTCGCTCGAGTCAAAGAACGCAGACCTGACGAAAAAAAGACACAGTATATTGAAAATTACAAGAATAAAACCATCAAGAACTTGTTGTAAAGGTGACGCAGGTATATAGACAGAGGGATTCCTGAAGCGAGAGAGAAATGTTTAATTAAATCTTTGTTTAAATATTAAATGAAGGTCAATCTTGACAGATGAAAAGGCACATTAAACAGCATTTTAGAAGAAGACGTTAGAACTGGAGGAAATTAAGACTTCGGCACAAGCGCTCGTGTTGAGGGATCTTCAAGTTTACTTTTGTAGTTTCCTCCGAACGTTCGGAGTGCGCGCGTGGGTGCGTGCGTGAGTGCGCGTGAGTGTTGGTTTGTCTCCATTGGAGAGGGAGCATGCGTGCAGGAGAGAGAGAGAGAGAGAAGGAAGAGAGAGAGAGGGAGAGAGAGAGAGAGAGAGAGGAGAGAGAGAGAGAAGAGAGAGAGAGAGAGAGAAAAGAGAGAGAGAGAGAGAGAGAGAGAGAAGAAGAGAATAAACAAAAGAAAAGAGAAGAGAGAGGCAGACAGAGACAGAGAGAGCTAGAGAGAGGAAGGGGAAGGGAGTATGTGTGTAAGAGAGAGGGTGGGGGGGGGAGACAAAGGGGAGAGAAAGAAGAGAGAGAAGAAAGAGAGAGAGAGAGAGAGTGAGAGAGAGAGAGAGAGAGAGAGAGAGAGAGAGAGAGAGAGAGAGAAGAGAGAGAGAGAGAGAGAGAGAGAGAGAGAGAGAGAGAGAGAGAGAGAGAGAGAGAGAGAGAGAGTGAGTGAGTTTTAAGTTGAATTTGCTCCTTATCGAATTTATTTTTGTATGGGCCTTTATGGGTTAAAGATTATCATTGGTTTGGTTACAAGTGTTGTTAGATTTTTTTTTTTTTTTGAAGAAGGGTTACCGGATTTCTGATGCATTTTTCTTCTTTTCTGATGGACACAATCGCATAAGGAGATATGCTGCCATTTTTATTCCGGAATGAGTGTAGGAAAGAACAAAGCTCCATTCGTTTTCATGGATCATTTAAAGATCCGTGAACTTCGCGCCGCGTGCATTAGAACGGAGAACTTTTATTCCGGTACCGAAAGTGCGATGTGCTTGGGGTCTACTTGGTATTAAGCTCCATTGCCTGATACCGAACATTTATGCCAGAGTTGAACTTCATTTCCCGATATGCGACTCGGATGCGACTGTCTGTGAGGACAGCCTTAAAGCATGGGTTCCTGCTTAAAGTATGTAAATGCATATACTCATTTACAGAAACACTCACTCTACAAGTAAGCACACCCAAGTACACAGACAAACGCACACACACACACACACACACCAGCACACACACACACACACCAGACAAACACACCAACATATACCACAATCCCTCGTATAAATATACAAAAAAAAAAAAAATTACTGACACTCTAAACACGCAAACACGTACAACCATACAAACTCAATTGCTTGCGTGTACTTTTAGTAAAGAGATAGACCGTCTGTTTTGTGCATCTTAGAACATAGCGAACATACGCTTCTTAAACAACTAAAACAAATGAGCTTCGGATAAGTTTACGAACGAATACGGAGAAGAAAACGCGCGACGAGTGCCAGAAATCGCGCAGACCCTTTGACCTCCGCAAGGCACAATGGCACTGGCACCCTCTTCCACGACTGCTGCAAGGAGAGTCGTCGTTAGCGCCCTCAGAAACTGTCAGTAACCAGTACACTCTTCGCTGCATCCCAGTAACTAATTACTCTTCACTAAAAGCCTCGAAATATTAGTTAATAAACTAGAGGCAGAAATGCAAACCCCCCTGAATATTTATAAACTAATAAGTAAGGTATATGGTGGACCGGGAGCGAATTTCACCCTCTGGTTATGAACCCTATCGCGAGAGAGGCGAAGGTCGCTTTTCGCACGTCTCCTCCGCTACATAGGGCTCTGCCTTGCTAACTTAATTCTCAGGATGGACGCAGCCGGGGACATGATGTATCAAGTGCGCAGGCAAAAAGGACGCTCCAATGCTAGTATGGGAGCGATACTTAAAAAAGGGGGATAGGGGTTGATATGGGCCAGGCGGTGGTGACAGGGGCATGGGGGTGGTGACAAGGGGGGGGTGGTGACAGGGGCATGGTGGTACAGTGACAGGGGCATGGGGGGTGACTGGAGCATGGGGCGGGGGTGAATATGGCCAGGGGGTGGTGACAGGCATGGGGTGGTGAAGGGGATGGGGATTGACCGGGGTATCGGGGGCATGACGGGGCAGGGAGGGGACATGGCATGGGATGGGCAGGGGGGACAATGGCATAGGAGGGGGGACAGGGGCATGGTGGTGACAAGGGCCTGGCATCAGAGGGGGGCAGAGGCACAGAAGGAAGGAGGAGGAGGGAGCAGAGAGAGGGGTTAGAAGAA